AAGGAGATTAATCAAAACTGGCTTTGACAAGCACTGTGGCAATTGGACAATTAAAACAGACATTCGGGGGGCGGGGGGAAGAAGAACAAACTGGGGAGGAGGGTAGAGAAAACAGTGCAACAATGAAGGAATGAAAACCCAAAATCCCTGTAAATGTTCATTAAAACGAATAAAATTTAATAATCATAATAAAAAACACAAACAAACAAACAAACAAAAAAGGGCATCTTTCTGGACCCACAGCAAAGCAAGTCTCCCTGCATCCTGACCCCAGTCAGTTCACCCTCACGTGATGAAGCTGTGGCCCCTTGCAGGGTCATGCAGTCTTATTTTCTCTTTTAAAATAAAAAAATGCATAATATCAACAGAATGGCAGGGAGAAGATTTAGAATGCATAGTTGAAAAAGTACTTCTCGAATAGTTTTAAATATTCAGTTACACTGGAAATGACAAAAATCATATCCTTATCAACTTGAAATACTTCTCTCAAAAGTATTTTGTGATGAGGACAACAATGGGTTAGAACAGTCCTAGCCCATGTGCCTTTCAGATCAAATAATTCTATACTGTACTATTAGAGACACTTATGTTTCACCTAGATACTAGTTTAAGTTAGCCTATGCATCTGAGTAGATGGACAACGACTAAGGATGACAGAAGAACAATCCATGCCTTTGAGTTATCATGCTGCAGAAAAGTACTGAACCTATCACAGACTGCCCAGGGAACACGGGAGAGGGTCAAACCAGGTTGCTCCTTGGAGGCAAGGATATTGAAACTCCGTCTCACATACTTTGGGCCCGTAGCCTTGGAGAAGGACATGATGCTCGGAAGGGTAGAGGGTCAGCACAGGATAGGAAGACCCTGGGTGAGATGGATTGACATGGTTGACTGCGCCAGAGGGGTCAGGTGTGTCCGAGATGGTGAGGTGGGCTCACGATGGCGAAGGTCCAGAGCATTGTTCATAGGGTTGTAATGAGTCATAATTGATTTGATGACACAGAACAGCTCCAATCTTAGGGAGCTCTGCTAGCTTAGTGGTAAGAAGCTGAGCTGCAATCCCAAAGGCATGTGGTTCGAACCCACTAGCTGTCCTATGGGAAAAGACTGGGCAATCTCCTTCAGTGCTATTTACTGTCTCTGAAAATCTGCGGGAGGGTCAAATACAGGTCAGTTGTGATTCAATGACACACAACCACCACCACCTCAATATCAGTTAGTTTGTTGTTGTTATGTGCTGTGGAGTCGTCTACGACTCACAGCAACCTTATCTATCAGGTTAGTGGATTTTATTACTCTTTACTCCCACATGAAGTACTACTGTCAAAATCTCTCGGAATGAAAAAAGCCAGAAAGGAAGGAAAGGCATTTAGGCCAAGGGAACAGCTGTTATGTAACATGAAGTTATGAATTCAGGCGGCTTAAGGAAGACCACCACCACCATGCTGTTTATAGAGAAGCCAGCGTGACGGGGACGATTTTAAAAAATGGAAGCAGATGCAATGACCGCTTTCTGCAGCGGCACCGTGTGTGTGTGGGCTTTACAAACTGGGACTGGAGAATTAAAAACTCCAAATCATTTGCAATGGAAATGCTCCCCACACTCCCCACCGAAGAACAGCAGACAACCAGGAGGCCTGGGGTCTGTCTGCAGATGCAGACGGGGACTTACTGTCATTGAACCTGCCTGAGGCTGGCAAAGCCGAGACGTTACCAACCTACCAACGCTCCTACGCAAGGAGGCAGAGAGGAGCCTGCGAGCCTCGATTCACCACAACCCGGTGACAGCGGCGTCACAGGACAAGGGCCATGAGCCCTGTGGTCAGGCAGCACGCTACCCCAGCCCTAAGCAGCAAGTGTAACAAAGCATATTGGGTATTGCCAGGGCCTCATGAAATTTTTGTGAGCAATTAAGCTTCTCACACAATTCCAAGAAATCTACGTAATTCTGCTATATTTAAGGTGACCGAATCAATAGCAAGTCTAGATTTCACATCACGGGGCTATGATTTTGGGCAATGAATCCATTTGACTTGTCATATGAGTTAAGAAGAATACAAGGAGAGCAGTTTATGTATTTTTTTTTAAACCCACATATTCACTGCTGCCAAGATGACTCCAACCCAGAACTACCCCAAAGGGTGGAGCAGATGTGACCCACAGGGTTTCTGAAGTGAGACACTGTTTTGGAAGCAGACTGTCATGTCTATTTCCCATGGAGCAGCTGGTGGATTTGAACTGATAACCTTTTGGTTAGGAGCTGAATGTTTAGCCACTGTAGCGCCAGGGCTATTCCAGTGCAGTGCCAGAACCCAAACCCATCGCCTCTAGTTGATCCTGACTCATACTGACCCTACAGGGTGAGCAGAACTGCCTCATAGGGTTTCTAAGTCCATGAATCGCGAAGGAAGTGGCCGGCCTTTTTTTGCTCCCATGGACCAGCTGGTGGGCTACTGGTTAGCAGATGAGTACTTTAACCAATATGCCACTGGCACTCTCGTCACTGGGGGGAAGAAACCCCAAAAACTCACTGACGTCAAGCCCGTTCCAACCCTGATGACCTTTCACTGGGTTCCGGAGGCTGTAAATCTTCACGGGAAGAGACTCTCTCGTCTTTCTGGGCGAAGTTTCAAACCACTGGCCTTTCAGTTAACAGCCTGACAAGCGGCGCGTCACCTCCACAGGGGTCCTTTCTGGTGCCGTCCACACTGTAAAGTGCCACTGAGTTGGCCCTGACTCATGTGACCTTCATGTATCAAAGAAGGAGCCCCTGTGTGATCCTGTACCCTTTTCACAACCTCTGCGTTTTTCTAAGCCTGCTGCTCCAATTGCTACGTTGAGCCATCTCACCGAGGGTCTTCCTCTCCTTCGCTGCATCTCCGTTTTTCCAGACATGATGTCCTTTCCCAGGCACTCGTCTCTTCTGATGACATGTGCAAAGTTAAGTGACATGAAATCTCACTATCCTTGCCTCTGAAGGGCATTCCAGCTGCACTCTTTCTGACAGGTACTTCGTCGTTGTTGTTCTTTTTGGCAGTCCATGGCATGTTCTACATTCTCTGCCAACTTCACAATTCAAAAGGCATCAATTCTCCATTGATTTTCCTTATTATTGTCCAACGTTCATATGCATAGGAAACAACTGAAAATACCATGGCCTGGGTCAGGCACAATTCTTTCTTTAAAGTCTTTGTTTTAGCAATTTGATGAGACCCTTGACAGAAGCGTAGTATACTAGGTACCCCAAAACCCCCTGGGGCTAGAGTTAGGATTCTATCTTGCCTTTAATATCTAGGCAGTAGAGGTCACTCCTTGACTCATGTGTCTCTGTCCTTTACCTGCAAGGAGCACCCCTCACTGATGTGGGGGGAGATTGCCATTAAGTAAAGGATGCATAAGAACAGAGTTGTATGCAAGTGTTTTTATGTGTAACTCAAAACCATTCTCCTAATTCCATGAAAACACAGCATAACAGAGGTGCAGAAGGCATTACCGAGCTCGACAGAGGCAGGGGTGGGGTGGAGGCCGTGGGGCCCACTGTCCTGTCATCTTATTTCAGAGGCTGTCCTAAAAGCCAGCTTTTCCATTTCCTAACATAATATCTGCAGCTTGACACACATTAAACAAAAAAGCTATTAAAGAATGGTTCTTTTCGAGATGACAAATGTCTTTAATAAAGGACTCATCTCCCTAGACATACAAAGTATTTGTCTTCTTGGAACTGGAATCACTTTATTAGGAATAACTAAAATGTGCCCAAATGGATAAGCAGATTAAGGATGCAGATTTACACGACAACAAGTGATGCTGCAAGTTTCAATACTTCAAGATGAAAGACTCCCAGGGCTAAAACACTGTTTACATAATCTTTATAAATATCTCTTCTTTTTATACTTCTCATCCTTTGGTGTCATTATGTGCAGCCGCATGAAAAGATGGGCGCCCACTCACCTCTGAAATGCAAGAAGCGCCTTTCGCTGCAGGACCTCCTGCGTCCCTCGCAGAGAAGCTAAGAAAAGGGTCCAATTAGTCAGGGCCATGGGAGATCTGTGAGCTTCTGACGAACACAAAACCCATCACAAAACTGATGCCTTCTATGGGATTTCAACCAGGGCTGGGCCAGGCACTGCAGAGACAGGAAACTAAACCCAGCCCTCCCCACAGGACACTCAAACCCACTGGATGTACTGTGTGGATAAGGAACACTGGGAGCTGGAGGGCATTCACTGGAGCCCATGCATATGATATCATAAAAAATTTTTTTTAAAATGTCAGTTGAGAACTCTAGAAAGAAGCACATTTGTCCTTCCAGCTACAGGCATGGCATTCGTGGTAAAGTCCAGGTTTCTTAGGGTGCAGGGCTGATGCCTTCAGAGCTGTTCCTAACACTGAAGTCATAGCTCTGGGCTGAGGGCAGCTTGGCGCCGTGAGCAAGCCTGCTTCTTTCATACAAGGCAATGGCCATTAACTTGAATGCCTTGCTTTGTGCACGAGGAGTCAATCAGTTCTCTCTATCTCACCATACAATGCTGAAAGAATTATAAGAAGAATTTGGGGAAATAATTTATCCACTGACACTCTCTGCAAGCATATTATCGAACATCTCATTGCATAGAAACAGATAATTAAGATGGTTTGGGCCAGATGCTCCTTCCAACAAAACCTGAAGTATGTCCAACACTCCAAGTACATCCTGTGCTGGGTGTGTTCCAATCTGGGCATTTAAGTGTGTGAGTAGAGCAGGGGCAGTGCCTGACCAGCCCAGGGTGGGGGAGGGGGGACAATTCCTGGAAGTCCTTGGACCCTCCCATGTTCCTGTGCATAAAACCCAAGTCCTCTCACAAGGCAGCCCAGGCCAAGGCTGGACAGGAACGGGCAGCCCTGAGGCTGGTTCAGGCGGGTCATCTCTCAAGCCTGACTCATCTTGCATCATGGGAGACCCGCTGGGCCTGCCCTTCTGGGCTGTGAGCCTTGTCAACCTGATGCACCTGAGGACAGAGCCCAGGGTCTCTAACTCAGGGACTTCTCCCCTTCCCCTTGAATTCTCCTAATAGTTCAAGCTAAGCAGACAGCAACACTGGGACCCTACAGAAAGGCCCAACAGAATGACCCAGCATGCACCCCGTCCTGAAGCAGAAGGGACACCGTGCTGTGTGGTCAGGCAGGCCAGCAGCTGCCTGAGGGGTGGGACTTCTCTCACCATCAGTGGCTTGTAGACTGTATGTGAGCCCCAGAGCTAAATAGCCCTTGGCCTTGAACTCAGACGTCTTCTCTCCCAAATCCACAACGGTTTTGGCAAACTTTTCAGCCTCTTCCAACTGCAAAGGAGAGACAAATTAAACAACAACAACCTGCAGAATTTCTAATCTGAGTTCTCACAAGCATCTGTTGCCAAGATGGATTTCTGATGAGTTTCTTTCAAAGTCTCTCTCCTATCTTCCCCTTCCCCTCTGGGGGAACTGTTTTCTTTTGGGGCCTCTCTAACAATCCCGATGGGCCCCAACTTGCTTTTTTTCTTTATTGCTTTTCTCTCTGCTCATTTGCTCATTTTTTTTTTCAAAGCCACTTTCATACTTGGCTGGATCCTATTTCATCTATACCTTTTAAACAGACTGGTTCTGCAGTGAGGTGAGTCAAGCATTCAGAAATGAAATTCAACGAATTTCTAAAGGATAAAGAATGCCATCTTAGCATGTCTTGTGTCCTCCCCCGCCCTCTCCACTGCACCCCATCCCCGACAACAGAACCTCTTTAGGCTTCCTTGAGTCTTCTACAAGTTATTAACAATTGCAAAGTGCCATCTGGGGTTTGGTTTTGTTGGGTGCCCCCCCTTTTTCACAATACATAACACATGGACCTCGCACTGGCAGATTCCAATGAAGACAAAAATGCACCTGTAAACTACACCCACGGAAAAACCTTTTGCACAATTCATCAGAGGTGAAAAAAATAATAAGGTCTGTTCCTTCAAAGTATGGAGAAATGGCAACGTTATTGAAGCTGAGTGATAGTGCAAAGGAGTTGAATATACTCTTTACTTTCATGGCCTTTGGAAATTTTAACAATACAAATATGGAGAGAAAAAAAGGATTAAAAAAGGGGAAGGAAGGAAGGAAGGAAGGAAGGAGGGGGAAGGGGGAAAGGGGAAAGGGGGAAGGGAAGGGAAGGGAAGGGAAGGAAAGGAAAGGAGGAGAAGGAAGGAAGGAAGGAAAAAAGGGAGAGAAAACAAACCCAAGTCAGGTTTATTTCAGGCCTGGAAATTTGTAAGTTACAAGGGTAAATAAAGCCACAGCTGGAAGCTGGCATTTTCAGACCCAAAAGGTCCAGTCCACTGTGCCACCCACTCTGAGCCTGGCCAGTATCGTCTCCTGGGCTGGCAGGCCTGCCCCTCAGAGCTGCAAGGACCATACAGCAGTGTAGCTGAATCTGTCAGGTGAGTCTGCTCTTTGAAAATACCTCTTTTTTTTTAAAAAAAAAATGTATATTTTCTCATGTTAAATTCAACAAAAATGGAGCACAAGGATTCCTGGGGTCCTGCTGGAGGGGGAAAAAAGCAGCAAGGACCACAGTGGGGGAAACCTTAGCAAGGAGCCCGGAGCTCTGAGAGAACGAACCCATAGATGAAGTTAAAGAGCAGACATCAACCACCACCCGGTGTGGCAACTTCCATCGCAAAGAGCTCGGGCTTTCGATGTTCTGCTCACTGATGCTCATCTGAGGTTCAAAATCAGATTCTTCCCAAATTCAGGTTTGAATAAGAATTTTGGAATAAGAAATCCATGGAAAGTACAATCCGCATCATAAAGCAAAAGATATATATCATTGTTGGCTGGAAAATCAAGCTGCTCTGTAAACGTTCAGCCAGATCACACTCAAGACTCAAATACCGAAGAGCTCGGCTCCGAAGGGCCCCTTTATGATCTGAGACCCGGAGGGGAAACCAAAGAAACCTTTTCTGGGGAAAGAGGAAGGAGAAACGCTTTCGGTTCTTCAGAGCTGGGGGAAGACGGGGTCCCCGGGATTCGCTCTGCTGAGCACAAGCAGTTCAGCACCAGCATCTTTTCCATGTTGTATCAACTGCATAAAGCATTGTGTATCTGACAAAGGATTTCAGTTCTATTTTATCACTGTGCATTCCAAAGAAAAACTAAAACCCTAAAAGCTAAAACACTGATTCCTATTAGACCTTCACGTGGGTGGGTGGATGGGCCTGAGGAGGCTGGCAGCCCAGACCAGGCCTGAGAGTTCAAAACAGGCTGGTCCTTGTGAAGCTGATGGATTTTTTTTTTCCTTGTCCTTTTGTGTTTTGATAAGAAAAAAAGGCCAATTGCCCTGCCCTTGAGCAGCTGCTGGGAGACCATGCCTCCCTACTTGGTGAAGGGGGCCCTGGCCCGAGTGTCTGCTGAAAAGAGGTCACCACTGCTCATTCAGTGAAGGGAGCCCTGGCCTGAGTGTCTGCCGAGGACCAGTGAAGGGAGTCTTTCCCTGAGTGTCAGCTGAGGACAGGTCATTCCCTACTCACTCAGGAGAGGCCACGCCAGCTCCCCAGTGAGTGGAGCCAGAGGAGAGGCCACAGCAGCTCACCCACTGAAGGGAGAGGCCACGTCTTCTCACCCAGAGAAGGGACCCTGAGGAGAGGCCACGCTAGCTCCCCCAGGGAAGGGAGCCCTACCCTGAACATCCGAGGAGAGGCCACGCACCAGCTCACCCACTGAAGGGACGGACCCTGAGGAGAGGCCACGCCAGCTCACCCACTAAAGGGGCCTGAGGAGAGGCCACGCCAGCTCACCCACTGAAGGGACCTGAGGAGAGGCCACGCCAGCTCCCCCAGGGAAGGGAGCCTTGCCCCAAGTGTGTGCTGAGGATAAGCCATTGCCTACTCACTCAATGAAGGGAAAACTATCTTAAGTGTCTGCTGAGGAGAGGTCATGTCTTTTCACCCAGTGAAAGGACCCAGAGGAGGGGCTATGCCAGGTCACCCAGTGCAGGGAACTCTGTTGTGAACACCTGCCGAGGAGAGGCCATGTCTTCTCCCCAAGTCAAGGGGACCCCACCTTGAACACCTGCCAAGGAGAAGCCTCACGTACTCACCCAGTGAAGAGAGCCCATGCACAGCTTGGCGGCAAGGAGCGGGATGGTGGCATCGTCAGGCTTCAGACGGATGCACTCTTTCAACACCTTCACGGCACGGGCAGACTTGTTGAGAGAAGATTATCTCTGTGAAACTTAGAGCTTTTGACAGAGCCAAACACGAATGCCTTCCCAGAGAAGTTCTGGTTAGGACCAGAGGCCTGGGGACAGTTATGACCAGAGCTTAGGGTTCCTGAGAGACAAGGGAGCATGCCATGGTTATAACCAGCGGAAGTGCGTCTCCGTCTAGCTCAAACTGTATCTCCTACTCTTATTCTCCATTATAAAAATAAGAAGATTATGACATGGGGCTTGCGGGGAAACTAAGAAAAGAAGGGATAAATAAAGAACACTGCAATGAAACAGATGAGGAATAGAACTACTTAAAAGAAAGATATTAGGTATTAACTGCATGACAAGAGTCCAGAATAACAGCTGCATAGTAAAGTGGATTGGAGGGGATTTTACTACAATGAAAGAATTTTTTTTTTCAAAGAGAAAAGCAAACTTGTGGGGGTGGGCAGAGAGGAAAATGTGCAACAGTGAATGAATGGAAATCCAAGTTCTCTATAAACTCTCATTAAAATCTCAATTAAAAAAATAAAAATAAGAAGCTTAAAAAAGACAGTCAAGATTTATGCTGAAATAAAAAAATACTCAACTTAAGGCATTCTGCACTAAAATTTTGATCCCACTCAGCCCAAGTAACTATGTCTCAGCTCTAACAGTTCACTAAATGGCTCAACTGAACAAGAACCACCACAGTTACCAAGCACCTTCGCACATGACCTCATTTACCTAAGAACAAGGCTAGGAAGTAGGTCCCATCAGTGTTCCATTTTACAGAAGAAGAAACTGAGGTCCTAAGTAACTCGTTCTGAGCCACGGCTGAGAGGGGCAGTACCAGGATCTAAGTGTAACATCAGGGTCCACCACTCATGCTTGAAACCACTATCACTTACTGCCTAATATAGCTGATTGTGAAGCTGAACAACAGACTTCCCTCCCCAGGAACAGGCTCACTCTCTCAAACATCTGAAGGGGTCCAGGTAAAGAAGTGGCTTCATCACCTAATAAGGTTCAAAAAACCTCACTATCCTTGAGTCAGAACTGACTCACAGCTGACCCACCAGCGCATTTATATTAGCTGTAAAACCACACAGGAGGATTCTATCCTTCTCTGCCCTCGGAGCATCTGGTGGGTTTGAACTCTTGTCTTTGGGTTGGCAGAGCAGCTCCTTATCTAGTAGGATTGCCAAAAGTGGAAAAACTCAATAAACTTTTTCTTAACAAGTGTCCGTGTTGACCCCTGAATAATTAACATGACTAGTCTGTTTACAGTTTGCTTGGTTGTTCATTTAGACATGGCCACGGGACATCTGGAATCACTGACTCAGAAGACCATGTTATTCCAGTCCATGAAAGGCAGCCACATTGACCATGACCCCGACGCAGAAGACATGACAAAGGAGGACTCACTTTTCCAGCAGCCATCAGCGACAGGGCGAACTGGTACCAGAGGTGGAATTCCTCGAAGGCAAACTTCATGGCTCTCTCTAAGCACTGGGTGGAAAAAAAGACACAGACATCTGAGAATCTCCAAGGTCAAGTGTGAGTGTGTGTCTATGCACATCACAAGGATTCCTAGAAAATCCGCTTTCCTGGGACAACATGATATTCTCTCCCCCAAGACACCTCCGAAGAGTAGCCACAGGCTTTAACGTGCTGGAGCAGAGAGGCCAGGGCCACGCAGGGTGACTAAGGCACATCCCTGATCTCCCAGCTTTCACCGAGGAGAGGAAACAGGTGGCCACACAAGCAGATCCACGCCAAGGTAAGGTCACATGTGCCGTGGGGAAGGGAACAGGAAGTGCCGTGGGAACTGGCATACAGAGTAGAAACGGCCTCCTGGAGGCGGGTGATGGGGCTGGCCTTGACAAGGAAGGCTGGGACTGGTGGCACAGGGGGTTAGGCATCGGGCTGCTGGTCAGGTCAGCCGTTGAGCCCACCAGCTGTTCCACAGGAGAACGCTCGGGCAGTCGGCTTCAGTAAAGAGCCTTGGACACCCCATGGGGCAGTTCTACTCTGTCCTGTGTGGTGACTGTGAGAATCGTCTCCACGGCAGTGGGTCTGACAAATGAACAGCTGTGACATGGAAGTGGCCTTTGAGGACGAGGCCCAGCAACATAACAGAAGAGAGGAGGTGTGAAAGGCTGTGTGCTCTGAGGTGGCAACGGCAGGTGGTCCAGCGTGAGCCCATCCTGGGTGGGCAGACAGGGGTGGAGAAGGAGGGCAGCGGGCAGGCAGAGGCCTCGGCCAAGTCACTGAGGGGCTGAAATCCAGCTCTTTTCCAACTTACTCCTTCCCCCTCTCCCACGCCAGCTTTGGTTCTCCTCCTCTGAGCTCAGAAAGTCATCACCACCATCACCGGATGCCACCCATCACTGGATGCCGAGATGACTCTCCTTTCCCCAGCCCAGCCCTACCACCATGTGCAGAAATGATGACCGTTTCTCTGTTTCTTGGCCAGTGCCTATTCATGGGGGTGACCTACAAGTGTTGGTGGGGTTTGGACTTCACCCTGGGCGACCTCAGCTTTCTACACTGAGTGATGTGACCTCATCAGAACACTGCCAGGTTGGGGGTGGGGGGCGCTGTGGTGAGGTCACATGAAATTGGGGACATTCTGGAGAGAAGGTAGCTAGACAGTCCAAGGGCTCAGGGTAACCTGTGAGCCATAAAACCATCCGTGCAAATGGAAAGGATAGGACCTTTCGGAACCTGGGTCTGAGTTAGAATCAACAGGTGAGGCAGCCCCAGGGAGTGAGACTTCTGAGGGGCAGGGGCTGAAGGAGGTCCCAAAGCCTCTGGTCTACCTACCAATGTGAGAGTCAACTTATGGCGGAACAGACTTCTGTGAGACAGAGAGACAGACAGACGAGAGACAGACAGAGAGACAGAGAGCAAGAGAGACAAAACAGAGACAGAGACACACAGAGAGAAACAGTAAAAGAGATAGAGACACACAGAGAGAGAAAGAGAGAGAGAGACAGAGAGACACAGAGAGACAGACAGAGACAGACAGAGAGAGGAGATGAGAGAAAGAAAGAACAAGGACACAGAGAGACAGACAGAGAGAGGAGATGAGAGAAAGAAAGAACAAGGAGGAGGAGAAGCAGCAGAAAAAGAAAGGCACTGCCAATGCATTTAGTCTGGAACACGGGGAGCTTGAGGTATTACATGATGATTAATGGAAGATAATTAGAAATAATCCAGAACTTTCAAAGAAAGATCTACATTGCCAAGAACACACACATGAGAAGGACACAGAAGTCATCAGAAGTGACGAGGTCACCTAGGAGAGTACTGAGAGAGAAGGTAGTGAGAGCAGAACTATGAGAAACATTTCTAGTTCAGAAAGGGGTAGGGACCAGAAAAAGTCACTGAGCAGGGATGCTAGGGTGGGCATGGCACAGAACAGATGCAGTAAGGGCAGGTGAACAGGGACAAAATCATCTACAGCCACGGGGGCTAGGAAGCAGGTTTCCAGCTCTGTGCACATCATCTGGGGCACGTTGATAAGGGTGCCAGGTGATGGTGTCTGGATGAGCAGAAGACGACAAAGGTGAGCAGTGGAGGGAAGGATGATTTCAGCAGAGACCCACAGCGAGGAAGAAGGCGGCATTACCTGTCGCACGGCTGGGCACATGGGGGGTGTTCGCCCACTGGTTCCTATCTAAATCTTTCTCTATGGGGAGGCTTTGAGCATCTCTTCAACACAAGAGGAAGAAGCCAGCAGAGGAGCAGAAACTGAGCAGGTAAGTCAGGCCCCAGAAGGCTCAAGAGCAGGTCTGTGGAACAGCGAGGCCTCAATGCCAGGCTCCCCTAAGGAAACGCGCTCCTCCAGATAAGGACGAGGGCTCCGGCAGGACTTCTGCCTCGCTGTTTCCTCTGTAAAGATGGAGCAGGGCAGGGGTCCAAACCAAGCATCCCCGCTGCTGCTGAGTCAGTTCTGACTCACGGACGCCCCCCACTGGCTTTCTTCACAGAAGCTGTAAACTGTCACAGGAGGAGACTGTCCATCTCCCTCCTGGCGAGCAGCAGGTGGAGCCAACCAGGGGGCCTTTCAATTAGCAGCCCGACAAGCAACGACGACGACACAGGGGCTCCCTGAGTTAGAGTTAGGGGGCTCTTGTTTGTTTAAAGAAAGACCAGAAGTCGTTTAAATATGAAAAAGCTCACCCTGAGTGGGCAGAAGGATCACACTCGAGCCAATTCAAAGGCTATGATGTGAAGCACAGAGGACCTGGAGCACCGTGATGCCCTTTCCTGTCCCGATGCTCAAGGTCCTGGGTGGGTGCTGACGAGACTGAAGGATGGAATGATGGGGAAGCCAGGAGGGGAGGGGGCTGTGAGGTGACAGACAAAAGAGCCACTGAAGAGGGGGCAAAATGGAAAGTACTGGAAAGCAAATTGAAGTGGCTACGAGCAGAGGAAATAATTCCAGATGATATTGACAGAGATCACAACAAATCCTATGCTAATGGGTTGACTGTGAACTAGAATACATGAAACAGGACTTAAGGAATATCTATCTATCTATCTATCTATCTATCTATCTATCTATCTATCTATCTATCTATCTTCTATCTTCTATCATCCATCTATCCATCCGTCCATCCATCCATCATCTATCCATCCATCCATTATCTATTCATCCATTCTTCTCCTCCTCCTCCTTCTCTCTCTCTCTCTCTGTCTGTCTGTCTGTCTCTCTCTCTCCATCCAGCAATGCTACAGGACAGGCATTTCAAGATCCCAAGTCAGATAAACAAGTCATATTTTGATAGGATTAACAACGAGCCAGGGGGAAAGCTGGGCAGCCACATCAACTCTGTTGTGGAAAATGAGTGTTGAGTGGGGTCTCCAGGGACCACTCCACCAAAGGAGGCCACCCTGCTCTCAGCCCTGCTGGGGACAGACTCGGCGCTGGAGACGGAGCAGCCAGGAGGTGAAAAGCCACCCACGAGGGTGACTGTGCAGAAAAGGAGAAAATCACAGGCACGTGACGCTCTGAGGAGCTGCAGCCATTCCCCCCAGACTAGTGACGGAGGTGAAATCCCCTCGTGTGTGCTTAGACCCCTGTAAGCCGGCTTGTCCACAGTATCTCAGTACTCACCAGAGTCAGTGCCAGCACTGGCACCCGGGCCTAAGATACCAGACACCAAAGCCCTGTCAACTACCGGGCTGAACCTAAAAGCAGCCAGCCAATGACATCTACTCCTGTCTTGTCTGTTCCGACTCATAGTGACCCTAGAGGACAGAGTACAAATGTGCGTAACACTGCACCACCAGGGTGCAGTGAAGGGGTCATCATGGTGCCTTTAAGGGCAGTGAAAACTCCCCAAAAGCAGCTTCTCAAGAAGATAAAGTTGGCAAGATGTATCCAGGTGTAGGATACCACAGGTGGGGAGGGAGGTGGGGGAGAGAGAAGACGTTACAGAGAGGAGGATGCTGATCCAGGTGTGGATAGCAGGGGTGGGGAGAGAGGTGCGGGGAGAGAGCAAACATTACAGAGAAGAGGAGGTCAACCAGTGAGGAGCCAACAATATCGGGAAGCTAATTTGGAGGAAGGGGATGAAGAATGGAGAAGGAGGAAATGAGACGGAGCATCCCATTGGCTGGACTTAGACAGGGAGCTGGGAGCCGGCAGGAGAAGACAGAAGTGGGTAGATGCTGATCGAAAATGAGGTTTGTTCCGACAGCTCTACTCAGCCTAATTCAATGCATTATAACCACTAAGTACTTCAATATATACACAGAAACATTTAAATGTTTAAATGCATTTTCTTCCTCCTTTTGCTAAGAGAAACAATAAATATCGACTGTTTTCTGATAAACAATATGAGCTCAGCAGCTGAAACAATCTGTTCTGAATCAGAAAGCTGGTTGCTCCAAATCAGTGCATTCCTGCTTCTTCTGTGCCAATGGCTAACACAGTCATTATCCTCAGGGAAAAACATTTCCTGGGAGCCTAATTGGTGTAGAGTTTTCTATTCCAGGTGCTACATGAAAATAACAAAGGAAGGCAGCCTCACAGCCCAGAAAGAATAAAATCATATGTTCTTGACGTGGACAGAAAGTTGGCAAGTATTTAGTTGAGGCCACCAAAGGAGAGAACATTTGCCATTTTGACTGCCTGCTCTTGTTGGGAGCTACTGTCAAGTCGAATCATGGTGATTCTATGCAGATGCACAGGGCTGACACGCATTGATTCTCAGTAGACCGCTAGGCCTCTCCTTTGAGTTAATCTTAACTTAAAAGCTCTGCTAATTCCCCTCTAATCCTATTTTGTTCAGTGTTTTAATCAGGAAAAGGTGTTGAATTCTGTCAAAGTCCTTTTCTGCATCAACTAATAGAATCATGTG